GAGGAGAAATCTCATCTCGAGCCCACAACTTGCATAAAGTTCATTGGCGCCATGTTGGATTCTCTCTCCCAGACAGTCTTCCTTCCGGAGGAGAGATTCAGGGCTCTTCGAGCCGAAGCACTCAAGGTGCGTCGCTCCCGAGTGGTCCCGGCGAAGCAGATACAGGTCCTCCTCGGACACATGGCCTCCACGGTGATGGTGACGCCGTTGGCAAGGCTCCGCTTCTGCCCCCTCCAGAGATGGTTCTTGGACCACTTCAACCCCATGCGAGACAGCGCCGCAAAGCGCCTGCTGATACCGAGGTCGGTAAAGGACTCGCTAAACTGGTGGATGAACCACCAGCATGTCTGCAAGGGCATTCCCTTTCACCCAGAGCCCCCAGCCGTCACGATCACGACGGACGCCTCGATGTTCGCATGGGGATGCCATACAGGAGAACTCTCGGTACACGACCTCTGGTCTCCTCAGGAAAGACAGTCCCATATCAACTACTTGGAACTGCTGGCAATCTTCAAAGCCCTGAGGGCATTTGCCCTCCTGGTCACGGGGAAGTCCGTCCAGATCCTCACGGACAACATGGTGGCAATGTTCTACGTGAACAAGCAGGGAGGAACGGGCTCGAGAAAACTTCTCAAGCTGTCGCTGGAACTCTGGGACTGGTGTGTAGCCAGGTCGGTGTCGATAACAGCCTTACACCTCCCGGGCGAAGCCAACGTCGAGGCGGACGTGCTCAGCAGAACCAGGGCAACATCCCACGAGTGGAGGCTGAACCCTGATGTACTGGCGGAGATCTTCAGGAATGGGGCCTCCCAGCCGCAGATCTCTTCGCGTCGCCGCAAAACGCTCAGCTTCCTCAGTTCGGTGCTCGACTTGCTCCGAACACGGTACCGGGGTGTCTCGGAGACGCGTTCCTGTTGGACTGGTCGAAGCATCTGCTTTACCTCTTCCCTCCCTTCCCGCTCATCCCGAGGGTGATCGAGAGGATCCAGTCGGCGCGAACAGACTGCATCTTGGTGGCGCCGGAATGGCCACGACAACCGTGGTTCTCGGTCCTACTCCAGTTGTCCGAGGGGCGGATGAAGCGCCTTCCGCTTCGGCAGGACCTGCTCTCCCAGGAAGACGGTCTGCTTCTCCACCCCGACCTCGCTTCTCTGCATCTTTCGGTGTGGCGGATCCGGTGTTGAGATCCCTGGGTCCAGGAGTTCTTCCAATCCTGGAAGCAGCTCACAAGCCGGCAACCAGAAAGTGTTACTCAGCGTGCCTTAGCCGTTTCCAGGCCTTCCTCTCCGAGAAAGGCCTAGACGATCATCGACCTTCAGTACCGGCAATTCTCTCGTTCTTGTTGCACCTTACCGAACGAGGCTTGTCGCTATCTTCACTCAAGTCTCACTTGGCAGCCATATCGTGGCAGCTTCAACGGACAGGAGAAGCTTCCCTGTTTAAGGATAGCTCCGTGAGATCCTTTCTGCGAGGTTTCAACAACCTACATCCCCCGGTCCGTTCTCCAACTCCAGGTTGGGACCTCGACCTCGTACTGGCTCGGCTCGCTCGACCGCCTTTCGAGCCATTGTCTTCGATTGAACTTCGGTTGTTGTCATGGAAGGTGGCCTTCCTGGTCGCGATCACCTCAGCCCGTCGGCCGTCGGAACTTGCGGCATTGCGAGTGGACGAACCCTATTTTGTTGTCCACGGGGATAGAGCAGTTCTCCGTACAGATGTGACATTCCTCCCTAAGGTCGTGTCCCCCTTCCATGTTAATGAAGACATTGTCCTTCCCTCGTTGTGTCAGTCCCCCTCTACCCCGAGGGAAAGGAGGCTTCATATGCTTGATGTGCGGAGGGCATTGCTGTGCTATAGAGACAGGACTGCTCAGTCTCGAAGGTCGCAGAGACTTTTTGTTGCATATGCCCTTGATAAGGTGGGCCTGCCGATCACGGCGCAACGCTTGTCGCACTGGATTACCTCGACCATCGAGCTCTGTTACCGACTGGCTCGACAACAACCCCCCTCGGTCGTCCGGGCTCGGTCGACCAGGGCTATGGCGGCATCGACAGCCTTTCTTAAGGGGATTCCCCTGGACGCTATTTGCAAAGCGGCCATTTGGAAGAATCCTCAGACATTTGTGTCGCATTATAGACTGAACACCAGGTATACACCTGACATGGCCTTTGGGAGGGCAGTTCTGGGCTCATGCCCGCCTTGAGCTTCGCAGAGTGTTCTATCGGTACCGAGTGTTCCTTCGATACCGTGGGTTACTGTGAGTGTTATTACCATGTTGCTACTTGAATTTTTTGCCGGTGAATGTAACTGCACCTTTACACTTGATGCCTTACTGCCTGAGGCGCAGGCAACCATTGCACTATGGCCTAATGGGCTCATCACGGGTATTCTGTGTCTTTATCGATGGCTTTGCCTTGCAAATGTGTTGTGCACTTGTTAACAAACTGTTTTTGTATTACTACTTAATGTGCCCTCATTATAATGAGTGTCTTCGATAATCACCATGTGGTTTATTTCAAGGGTCGAAAGTTTACTCAGTTGTTGGTCACCCTCACGTGACCGGGAGGATCACGTACTCCCATAAGTTTTATGCACTGTGCCCTTCTTTGGAAGTGATTGCAACCTCTTGTTATGCACTATGCCCTTCTTCGGAAGTGATTACAATCTCTTGTTGGTAACTGTTTTTTGCACTTAATAAAATTGTTTGGCCCTTGACTTCAATGGTCGGTTTGCTTCCTTCCCGCCTCCGGGACCTGAGCTTGCTAGTCTCCACAAGTGTGCATTCACAGAGACCATGAAGAAAAATGGTAGGTTACATACCTGTGACCATCTTTCTTCGAGTGGTGCTCTGCGAATTCACACTAACCCGCCCAGCCTCCCCTCTAAGCAAACCTCCAATTTCTCGCTACCGTAGCGGCGTAGGAATTGGATCGGTGTGCGCGGGGCGCCCTTTTATCCCCTGCCGGGGCTGGGCAGGGTTACCGCCAAAACTTGAAAAGTTTTAAAATGTAGAAGTTTCCGTTGGAGCCCGCGCAGGCGCAGTCTCTCCACAAGTGTGAATTCGCAGAGCACCACTCGAAGAAAGATGGTCACAGGTATGTAACCTACCAATATTTTAGGGGAGATAATTAAACAGTCTACAGGCACTTAGAAAGGAATGCTGTGACCACTAAAAGTCAACACGTTTCTCAAAAACAAGTCTTGCCAGACTAATCTTATACCTCATTTGTTAATAAAAATTACACCCTCAGTAGATGAAGGGAATGCTGTGAATGCAGCATATCTTGATTTCAGATAACACCTTTAATAAGGTCCTCCATGAATTTATTCTTACAAAACAGCTCCTAAAATGTGAGACAGACATTTGCACCCAAGAGCTTCTCTGCATCCTGATGTAAAGTGATTAATGACTAATAATGTATCACAAAATATAATCCTAGGCCCAGTGCTCATCAACTTTATCAATGACTTAGGTAAGGGTCTTCAAACTTTTTAAACAGAGGGCCAGGTCACAGTCCCTCAAACTGTTGGAGGGCCGGATTATAATTAAAAAACATGAATGAATTCCTATGCACACTGCACATATCTTATTTGTAGTTCAAAAAACACTTAAAACAATACAATGATTAAAATGAAGAACCATTTTAACAAATACAAACTTATTAGTATTTCAATGGGAAGTGTGGGCCTGCTTTTGGTTGTTGAGATAGGATTGTTGTTGTTGTGTGCTTTCAAGTCGTTTCAGACCTAGGTTGATCCTGAGCAAGGGCTGGGTCAATGACCTTGGAGGACCGTATCCGGCCCCCAGTCCATAGTTTGAGGACCCCTGACTTAAATGATGGAAGAAAGGGTATGTTTATCAAATTTTCAGATGAGACCAAAGTAGGAGTGATACCTGATGTCCCAAAGAGTGGTACTAGAATTTCGACAGAGAGAAATGTAAGTTACTACATTTAAACAGAAAAAAATGAAATGTACTGATATAGGATAGGTAGCACCTGGCTTGACAACTGTATATGAGAAAGAGATAATCATGTTTAAATGTGTGAAAGGATGTTATATTGAAAATGAAGCCAGCTTTCTGCTCGTTCTGAGACTAGGCCAAAGAGCAATGGATTCAAACTACAGAAAAAGAGATTCCACCTAAACATTAGGAAGAACTTCCTGATGATAAGACCTGTGTGTGGCAGTGGGATACACTGCTTCGGTATGTGGCAAAATCTCCTTTTTTGGAGGGGTTTAAATGGAAGCTGGATGACTTTCAATCAGGGGTGGTTTGATTATATATTCCTGCATGGCAGGGGGTTAGGCTGAGCATTCTTTGTGGTCTCTTCCAGTTGTATGATTCTATGGCTATCTGTAAGATCTTTTACACTGAGAAAAACAATTATCCATAATATACTAGTCTTGTGGGGCCTTCTGTCGATGAGGGAAGAATTGGGAGATTATTAAGCTCTTAGCCGCCCCAAGTCCCTTCAGGGAGAGGGGGCAGGATATAAATAAAGTTTAATAATAATAATAATAATAATAATAGTAATAATAATAATAATAATAATAATAATAATATAGTTCATTTATATGTAAATAACAAAGCCTACATTTCCAATCCCAGGGTGTTAGTGAACAAGCAGGTAAAAACAAAAGAGAAATGCAGCTGAAAAAATATCCTGTATTGATACCAAGAGATGGAAAAAGATAGGTAGCAGAAATGAATGAGATAAAAATATGGCTTTGTGAAAGCTTCCAGGCTATTTGTTCCCAAGGTATGTGCATTCTTCATTGATGTACATTCTCTATCCACATAAAAGATTCAATTGAAAGAAGATTATCTGAGGTCATTCTCATACAAGACACTTACAGCATAGTATGTTCTATTTTACTAATCTCACCATGGGAACAAGTACATACACAAATACACACACATGACCTTACAGTTGAACAATAATTTAGTACTAAATACTGTTGCTACTACTGTCATTATTCCTAGCATTGCCTCTTACTTGTTTTCCTGTTCCTTGCGTCTTTGAGTGAGGTATTTCTTTTTCACATTCAGAAGCTCATTGGCAAGTCTTTCGATTTCATATTTGTATTCTTGACTCTGTGATTCATACATGTTGAGTTCTGAAGACAAAACCTGTATAAGCCAAAACAAAACCAATTAGAAATTATTAAAATAAACACAATGGGTGATTTGAATTCTTCATGTCTGGCTGAACAAATTGTGTTGAAGGCTATGCTTTAGAAACATATTTATGCTGGGCAAATTCCAAGCGTCACAGGTAACTGTCTGCATAGCACACTGATATAAAGAGTTTTTACCTATATTGCATATGCAGATAATTTTAGGGTCATACAGGGTAACTATACACTGGTTTTGGAATTCATCTCAGTATGGCAGTAAAAGTGGAAATTTTGAACAACTTGCTCCAAAGCTTTATACACCACTGAGCCCTTTTTTAAATACCAGCTTGACAGAAAGCTTCATTCTCTAGAGCAGGACTTAAAGTCTTTCTGCTCATGACCACTTTCCACCCAGAATTTTTTACATGACGCTAGGAGTATAGATATATAAAACAGTATTAAAAAAATCAAACATTTACTGATAATAAAGCAGCATTTACAAGGCTTCATATATAGGCTGATTTTCCTTTTTGTGGATTACAACTGAAGCATTTTCTTCAGAATTCACTGTAAATACTGCATGTTGTTGCTAAGAGATTTGTATAAATGGGTGGTGATTGTTGTTGTTGTTGTTGTTGTTGTTTAAAGCATTTATATTTCACCCATCTCACTCAAAGGGGGCTCAAAGAACACAGAACACATATACGACAAACATTCGATGCCGTTAGACAAATAGCGGTATATGTCGGCATTTTTCCCCAACTTCAGTGTCTTAGAGATTGTGCCCGATTCAGGCCTTGAGGGGGTGCTGTCACTCCATCCTCTATTACAAAGAGCCCTGTGACAAAGATCCTTCCTTTGATCGCTGGCATTTTCCGGTATTTCCTTTTTATGATTCCGCAAAATACCTCCCTGCTTAAACGATGCCTGATTTCTCTACTCACAGCTCACAGCTCTTTTCAAACTGCTTATGTGGACAGTGAGCTGGGCTGAAGGTCAGGTACTCACGCTGACCCGGGCTTCAAACAGCCTTGAGTCAGCTTCAAACTACATTATATTATCTGTGTAGAAGGGCCCTCTATGTACTTTATCACTTTAACACTGGGATTCACCACATATCACCCCATATCCCACATTGCCTGACTTACCTTTGGCCTCATCTCACAAGGGGAAGCATCCGCCACTCAGCCTTCCCCCCACTGTTGTTGTGGCAACACAGGAAGCGTCCCGTGTTGCCGCAGTGGCAGCACACGCTTCTTCCTGTCCCCTTTTGCCACGGAGCCCCACTGAAAGTAGGTATATGTCGTGCAATGGGCTCTGTGGCAAAAGCAGAGAAGAAGCAGCATATGACAAGCAAATTAGCCCATATGATGAGGTCATATGTCATTTCTATCTATTTCTTTATAGTGTGTTGTTGAACACTTTATAGTGTTTTTGCTTTTTTTCTTTGTTGCATTATTTGTAACTTTTATTGTATGTAAAGAATCTTAATAAAAATTGTAACACACATATACATATATCAGTAATAACTTGTCTTGTTACACATTGGTCTTTCCTTATAGGAAGATGTTTGCATTAAATAAAAGGTTTTAAAGCAAAATATTTGCTGGTATCAAAATAATGTCATTCCCTTATACAAATGACATTCATGAACCTCTACTTCCCAAGCATGTAAAGAAGATTTCTGATGTAGCATTCAGTTGTAGAATCCTTTGCACAACCAGCTACAACAGGGACTACAAAAACAAATGTATTACCCCACACACAAGTGGGGGGAAAAACAAAAACTTATTAGTGCAGTGTTTTCCACTACTAACATTGCATTGAAATTAGGTCTTTAATTGCAAAAACCCAACAAATGAATATTGTGCATATTTAGACTCTCTTTGAACATTTTCAGAGGGGAGCATCCTCATTAGGAACACATAGGAACAAAAGGACTTGTAAACAAAATGTGAAACTTCTATGCAAAATATTTAGTTAATAGGTAGAGATAGAAGTGAAAAGATAATGAGCCAGTAGAATCTGGGTGATTTTATTCACTTAGTTTCAACAATATTAATATTAATGAAGCAATTGCCATAAACAGGCTATTTTATTAACATATTAAACACTCATCCACACTACACTTCTTGTGTGACAGTGCAACAATGTGAAAAAAATGCAAATAGTCATGAAACAGCTTAGAAATCATGAGGTGAAGAAACAAATAGATCTTTCATTTTGTTCTCAGGCTTTAACATATACTACTATTTTATTTTCCTATTTCCCTTATGCCTATAAGAGCTAGAAACTTTAAAAATGCACAATTGCCCTGTGTTATTATCTGCCTATATAATATGTCTGGCTAGAACACAAAAAACCCCTTGAAGGCCATCTATCCTATGTGTAAGCTTGAGCCCACACTATTGCTATATTTAGCTACTGACTTTTCCCCTTACTATTGTCTTTAGCGTGCATGCAAAGAAAAAAGCAAACAACAATGACAACAAAAACGAGCACTAGTGGATTCGGTTGTATTTCCATACCAATGAAAATGAGGGGGGAAATGGCATGTTACACAGCAGCCAGAAATGCTACTTAACATGGTGCTTCAAGCAGTTCCAGAAGGCATAAACAAGCTTTTCTCACCAAAGAAATCCTGCTTTACGGTGACAAGGGGTTAAGAGAGATTACTCTTGTCAGCCCTTTAATAAGATGCGAGACTAATATACAAGGACATACTGTTAGAGAAAGATGAAGGATTTAGCAATGTTTTCTCAATCCATTTCCGCTAGCTTGTTAAAGACAGAAGGAAAACGGTTTTGACTGGCACATTAGAAAATCTCACTCATTTGAAAAGGAAATTAAGCCTCATACAAAATTCTGGCAGTGTCTCCACAGGCCCAAGTGGGATGCACATTTATAGTAATAGCTTGTAAATTAATACTCTAATTAGATTTTCGTTTCTTAATTTTATAAACAAACATTATACTACAAAACCCTACCCTCAACATGGTTAGGGAATTTACACACTAGCCTTCCTCAGTAAAGCATGTATAATAAAATCATGGACCTTTCCATAAAACCATGCTTCACTGCTACTGTCCAAAAGAAAATGTGCTTTTCATGTAAGAGGGTTTGTGTTCACCTTAGATGTCTAAAAATGTAAGAACTCTGCTACACCAGATCACAAGTTCATTGAGAGCAGAGCTTTCCAAACATCTCATGTTGGTGACACCCTTTTTAGACACGCATCATTTTCCGACATATTAATTCAGTTTTATTAGTAAACTAGAGGTTAAATCTACCCCTTTTAAGATATATGGACACATACATAAATTGTAATAATGAAATGTGTGGGGACACAATATATCTCATGAAGTACCTTTCATTTATATTTTAAAAAATATATGTTTTATAGCTTATTTCACATGAACCCAGAGGCTTCTTGTTATATTCTTGTGATACACCTACACACTTAAGCTGATACACTAAGACATTGTGACACACCGTTTTGAAAGGTCTGATCTAGACCACCATTCAGTCTTCAGATATGGCAATCTAGACAGTTCCAGAAATCCACAAAGCAGGGCATCAAGGTAATAATCTGAGTTGTTCATATCAGCATGTTTTTTAACAATACCATTCTACACATACTTATCTGGAATAGGTCCCACCAAATTCTACAAAACCTACTTGTGAATAAATATGCAGAAAATGTCATTGTGTCCTATTGTAATGCAGGATTACTGGCCCAAATATAAGCTGTGGCACCTAATTTTACCACAGAAAACTGGGAAAACTTATTGACTTGAGTATAAGCTGAGGGTGGGAAATGTAGAAGCTACTGGTAAATCTCAAAATAAAAATAGATACCAATATAATTACATTAATTGAGGTTAGCAAGTTAAATGTTTTGGAATATTTACATAAAACTGTAATTTAAGATAAGACTGTCCAACTCTGATCAAATCATTATTCTAACCTTCTTCAATGTAAATGTGCTTACATATCCTTCCAAGAATCACCATAGTTTATTTTAACCCCAGTCTACAGTGTGAAGGGAGTTGTGAAAAGCTGGGGAAATTGGGGTGGGAAAGAGGGGCAGCTGGAAAAGACTGGGATGGGGAAAGGAAGATTCCAAACTGAGTAAGACTGAGTAAGATCCAAACTGAGTAAGACTGAGTAAAATTCCAAACTGARTAAGTACAAAAGGGGGGTGGAAAGGTGGAAAGATTGGAGAGGGAAGAGAGCAAGTGGAGAAATGGGAAATATTGAGGTGGGAAAGGGGGTTGAGAAAGTGGGAAAGACTGGGGTGAGAAATAGGGGCTGGGAAAGTGGCAAACTGTAGTGGGAAAAGTGGGCAAGACTGAAATGGGAAAGAGTGGCTGGAACTTGGGAAAGGCTGGGATGGAAAGGGAGCTGGAGGGAGAGGGGCTGGGCGTAATAAAGACAGGTAGGAAGGGCTGGTACATGAGGTCACGAAGAGTTGGAAATGACTGAACAAATGAACAACAACAAAGGAAGCAGAAAGCTAGAAAAAAAGACTGGAAAAGGAAAGGGGTGCTGGAAAAGTGGGGAAAACTGAGGTGGGAAGGGAGGACGTGGGCTGAGGAGAGGAAGTGTGTGACCTCCCTTCCCTTCTCAACACAGTAAGAGGAGAGGAAGGCACGAAAGAGAGGACAGGAAGGTGTGCAGCCTCTCCTCCTCTCTCGGCACAGCGACCAATTGAGTTGCTGTGCGGAGAGGTGAGGGGCCTGGCAGGGAGGAGTGGGGCTCAAAGAAGRACCCTCAGTCAAGTATAAGCCAAGGAGGGCTTTTTCAGCCTAAAAAAAAGGGCCAAAAACTAGGTTTATACTCGGGTATATACAGTATGCTTCCTCTGAACACAAAGATGCCATGTGTCTATCATATCTAATACCTATTGATGTGATACAAGAAAGAAATATGAACTATAAATCACAACCTTACCATAGGCAGAATTAAGCTGCTAGTCCAGTCAGCAGACACTGGGCCAGCACATTGTTTCTTACTTCATTATTATTGCATTTTTACTGGAAGGACCCAGACATGTCCTTGTGTTATTTTATTTATTTTTTTTGTCTGAAATGCCTGTTTCTTAGCTGTTGGGGGAGAACAACTACACTTTAGATTTATTTTTTATCATATATTTCTGGGGAAAAAACTCTTACTTTAAGTTGCTTGGTTTTCTCCCGTAAGGTATACCGATACAACTGCAATTGCTCAGCTGCTTCTGGTCCGGGTTGACGGGCTAAGATGTGCTTCAGTTCCACATATAGCTTCTCCTTTTCCTAGGAGACAGAGTGGGATGAAACCAACTTACAAGTTACATTTGCACATTTCTCATTTAAAATATATGGAAGGAGAGGTAATATAAGCATGTGAAAACAGAAAGATAAGCTCTAGCCACATCATTGAGACATTTATAAGCTAAGTTTTTTGTTTGAATTGCAGTACTTCATTTCTTTTCAAACCAAAAATAATTTCCGTTATCATTATGCAGTAGGGAGATATAAAATGGCTGTATCTGTTAAATTCCTTCAAAAGTGATTCCACCTGTCTCTTACACCGAAAACTCTACTGCATAACCAAATGATGACAATGCAAACATACAGCAACAAAATGTTGTGTAGTGTTTTTACATAAAATACTTCACTTGTAAGTACGCAAGGAAACCAATCTTTCATAATTTCATGTATTAGGGCTTTAAAAAACAAAAACAGCCCCTCCTGTTCAGAACTGATTTACGAAGAACTTACTTTATTTAACAGTGTTTACTATGGCACTCAGTTTTGAAGCTCTTAAGCTGATTTACAGAGAAGAAAAACATAAATAAACATCTGCCAGAAAGCAGCATTCCAAAATCCCAAGACAACCAAAAAAGTATTAAAACAGAACAATCTCAATTTAACAGTAGCAGTACAAATGCCTAAATAGCAAATATATGGATTATTTATGGGCCAAACATAGGGAGCAGCAAAATGCTGCCGAACAGAGTTTAATGTTTTATGTAACCTGTTTTCTACCTCTTAAGGATGGTCCATCCTATAGAATTAATGCCACTTTAACTGCCATGGTTCAATGCTATGGACTTGTGTAAGTTGTAGTTTTAAAAGGCCTTTAGCCTTCTCTGCCAAAGAGCACCAGTTCCTCACCAAACTGTGGCGTAATGGAAAATCACACGTAGTTCATGTTTGATCAGTCCACACACTGTCTTGCCAGAGAATGAAAATATGCTACGCAGATTATCAATAAAGAACAAGTGGTTTACTCTTCGTAGTACAGAACAACGTATTTACAATCATGTGAACAGTTGCATTAACTCACATAATGTCCTTTTAGAGGGATTTAAAATGGTCTTTCAATGTCCATGTGGAAAATCTCCTTCCAGCAGCTCATGAAGCAAGAATACTCTCTGAACTGTCTCTCTCTGTGTCTCTGCTAGCACTTTCACAGCTCAAGTCTGAAAATGTAACAGTAACCAAAACTCCCAGGCTCAGCTAGTTCCCCACACGTGGCCCAGCCAATCAGCTTTGTGCTTTGCATTTTTTTTACAGTTAACACACACCAAGCTGATTTCTTACATGCCCTAACACAAACTTCAACTCCAAGGACTCCATAGCATAACACCATGGTTGTTGAAGTTGTGACAACTGCATTAATTCTACAGTGTAGATGCACCCTAAGTTAGCCGGATATCGTGGAGGATGCTATCTAAGTTCCACTGTTAAAAAAAAAGTCTGTTCAGTTGGCTTCAGTATATGGAAGGCAGTAAAATATCTTAGTGTTGATTCTGGATAATGTACTAATGTCCATCCATGTCACATCTTCACATCACACATTATGTTTCCAGTAGGCATTTCCACATCTATTACACATAAGCACACACAAGTATTTCTTACACAGTTATTATAATCTAGGCAATGGTAATACTCTGCTAAAATTACATCATTTTTCAAATTTGCATAGGTGTACCAAGGACACTGATTTGTTTTTCCCAAACAAAAAGCTGATACTCCTTTGTTCACTGTTAATTTGGCCTTCCCACAAGGACTCAATGCAATGTTATTTAATCCTTGCAAGTGAAGCTGAACTGTGAGAGAAACCACAGTCATCAGCAGGTTTTCTATATAAAAACAGTATTCTGCTTTTAATGTTGAAATACAACAATAAATGACAACACAAGTTCATACTGAGGAATTATCTTTTTTCATCTGTCTGTATTTCCCTGGACTTAATATGCAGACAAATTAGTCTGTATTTACTGCACTTAATATTACTGCATATGTTATTTCAGGCTTGTTATTTGCTGCCTATCCCTTTAAAGGGAAATTATAGGGTTTTTTTTCTCACTTGTGGCTTTAGGTGGATTCTCTTGGACATGCTTCACATTCCTTGAATGCCCCCATCCCCTTCCATAGTTCCAATGTTTTATGGTCGCCCTTCTGTTTCAAACTCCGGGGTCCATCTGGCAGGACAGGTGGCCAATTACTATCTCAGTTTCGTCCCCTTTGAAATGATTTCTGTGGTCTCGTTCCATCCAAATCTCATTTAACCTTTCCTTCTAATCCTTGTTATAACCTCCTACAAGCCCAAATCCCTTTCTAGCACAACTTCTATCCATTCCTAGTCCCTTCTCGTCTCATTTTCCAGTCCATCTTGGATACAACTTCTCCTTTTCTCCCCTCCAGATTTTCTATTTCGCGCTGCTCCCTTCTTTCACTTCTTCTTCACACTATCCTAGCTATCCAGTCACATGTCCCAGTGGTGATATAAATGTTTCTGCCTCTGTTCTGGTCAATTTTTAAAGGTACACTTTTCCAAAATAGCACATTGCATCCATGTGATTTTTGGGAAAGACTACAAATGTGGGGGTTTCCCACTTACTATCCATCTTGCATGACTTTTCCTCCAATTCCACATTTTCTGATGAGAAATGGTACTTAGATCCAAACAAATTTGTTCCAAATGACTCTATAATGAACCCCATAACTTTTTTATCCCAGATTAATATGCAAGAATTAGTAGATTCACTTTTGCATTCAAAGAACATCATAGAGAGAGAATTCTGCAGGCACTCAAGGGCAAAAATATTACCACAAATATACAAGCACCTCACTTCTTTTCTTTTCAAGCAAGTCTATAGCATAATATAGTTATTTTACAGGAGATGCGAAAGATTCACCTCAACTATTTGTTACTATCCTTTCTTGGATCACAGAACTATGTGGTTACCAATAACCTGCTCGCTCATCTAGGACCACAAAGATGTGAATTGAGAACATATGATTTATTAGCATTTCCTTGACAGTATATTACAGTGCAAGTGTACATTGCAATATGAGGTGAAGTCTATGCAATATACTGTAAGATTTATCTGTAGTTGTGATAGGAAATACTAAATAAGTATTTAATATCAAATACTATAAAAGACAGGTAAAGAGAGAAACAATATAAAGTTTTCCTTTACTTTCGCCAAAGCCTATCTGAAAGTGTTGCGATAGCAGCTGGAGAGTCTATTAATTTAAAAAACCTGTAAATAGAATTAAGTATTCTTATATGCATGCATCTAACAATCAAGCCACCAGATTTACTTCCAATTTGCATAAATCAGTGATTTCCAACATTTTTTTGATCAGGAACAACTTGAACAGAGACCACTTTGACCAGGGACCACTTTCCAACATTAATACCAGAAGGGTTACGAATCGGTTTTTGGTCAATTTTAGATTTGGTTTGGTTATTTAGGGTCCTGTTTCAGAAAATTGCATTGGACAGACCACATCAGCTCTAGTTTCTGATACAGAACATATGCCATCCAGTAGTCGCCATCTACTCACCCACAGAAAACCATATTTAATCATCTAGAGCTGATGTGGTAGTAGTAATCTTTTGTGGGTAGTCAGCCTCTCTCCTCCTGACCTCTCTGTTGCCTCGGCTCTACAAGAGGGTTTTGTGAGACCAGTTGCTCTTGTTGCCACATAGTTTTGAGGCAACAATGTAGTAATGGTGAGGCCACAGACCATATTTTTGGTCTTGCAGACCACTGCTGTTCCACAGACCACAGGTTGGAAACCACTGGTGTAGGTAATAGTCAATGTAAGTAGTCACTAGAGGGGAAACAATTTAGAAGTTTTACACTGAAGGAAATATTTATTTGATTGTAAAGTTGCAGTTGTTTCACCGAAGCCAATAAATCACTTCCTAACATTGATTTGTACCAATCAAAAAAGAAAAATCCTGGAAATTAATTAAGAAATCAAAAGACTGAAGACTAAAAGCAAAGCAGCATGTAGCACTATACTTAAGTAAGAAAAAATAGATTGCAGGCTATCTGTAGGACAAAAAAGAACACTGAATAAACTTCTTGGAAAGATCTGTGTATCTTAGTCTTACATGACATGGATTCTTTTTCATCATCCAAACTCTGGCTTCATTCAAAATGAGATACATTTCAGAGGAAAAGATTGAAAGAACACAATTTGAAATTAGAGGGCTAGAGTTAGAGCAAAGTTTCTCATACCTACCATGTACATGTCCATACATATTTCTAAAAGAACTGATTTTTCTGTAGCAACAAAGAATTCCCTCCCACCAACCAATCAAAAAAGTCTCATAAAATCTGATCCACACCATTCCCACTTTGGTTTTATGCCACATATCCAATCCAAACAGGAAGCATATGCTAAAAGATAACAAGTAGTACATTGCTATATAACTGCATGTCTTCTTTCAAAATCCCTCATACTTATTTTGAACCATCTCCCAATCTCAGGGCCCTTCCACACAGCCGTATATCCCTGAATATCAAGGCAGGAAATCCCACATTACCTGAGTGTGGACTCAGATAATCCAGTTCAAAGTAGATATTGTGAGATTTTCTGCCTTGATATTCTGGGATATACGGCTGTGTGGAAGGGCCCTCAGTACGCACACACTGGCATTGTGCTTACATCCACATCTGTGCTACCAAAGCTTGAAAACGTCACATGACAAATTAATCATTCAAGATAACCTTTGTAAATTCAGTAGCTGTAAAATCAGAGAGAAGTTTTTTGTTAGTTATTTTTGCATTTTTTTTAATTATTGCAAAATTATAATTGGTAGGAACCAAATTGACAGTAATGGTGACAAGGAATTATTTAGGAGTTGTAGTAAAAAAACAAAATTATAGTGCATCAAGAGTGTGGCTGAATGCAACAAAAGGCTAATGCTATATCACATTGTATGAAGATATTTTGATATCCAGGACTAAAGACAGTACTCTGTTTTCCACAAACATTGTGTATTT